CAGCGCCCCATGGGTAGCACGCAATCTGCCCTCCTGCACCCAGACAACGCTCTTCTCCCCATCTGCCTTTCAGAGCACGGAGATGGGTATCCCTTCGACGGGAAGGACGGGCTCCTGGCACACGCCTTTCCTCCTGGCCCGGGCATTCAGGGAGACGCCCACTTCGACGATGAAGAGTTGTGGTCTCTGGGCAAGGGCGTCGGTGAGATCCTGAGCGGCCGCAGCCCCCATTCCCTTTTCTTTTCACTGCCGTCGCCAGCTGCCCTGACCCTGGTCCCCCTCCCCCTGCAGTGGTTCCGACCCACTTTGGAAACGCCGATGGAGCTCCCTGCCACTTCCCCTTCACCTTCGACGGCCGCTCCTACTCTGCCTGCACCACGGACGGCCGCTCCGACGACAAGCTCTGGTGCAGCACCACGGCCGACTTTGACACGGACCGTCGGTTCGGCTTCTGTCCCAGCGAGAGTGAGTTCGGGGTCGCCGAGAGGGTGGCGGTGGTGAGCGCACCCCGCAGCCTGGAGGTCAGGAACCCTGGGCTTTAAGCCCGGCTGGGCCACTAGTGCTGCGGGGTCTGCAGGGCTCTTTCTTGTTCTCTGGGCTCAGTTTCCTCACCTGTGAAACAAGGAGCGGAGGGATGCAGTGCACGGGTGGCCCATGGGTCAGTCAATTGGGGGTCTTGTGTGGGCTTCTCCAGGACTCTACACCCAGTACGGCAATTCCGACGGCAAGCCCTGCGTGTTTCCATTCACCTTCGAGGGCCGCTCCTACTCCGCCTGCACCACCGACGGTCGCTCAGACGGCTACCGCTGGTGCGCCACCACAGCCAGCTACGACCAGGACAAGCTTTATGGCTTCTGCCCGACCCGAGGTACCTCTGCCCCGCCTGCCAGATTCAGCATTAGTCCTCAAAACGTGCCCCCTCCACCCAGCAGCTGGTCTCTCCGCCGTCCCGGGTCCTCGGGGCCTCCGGGGCTCCGCCCACCCTCACGCAGCCCCGCCTTCTGGCTCCCAGCTGCTGGCCCCTGTCACTGGGCTTGGCCTTTTAGCCCAGCCTGCCGCCCCTCCCTCGGTTTCCCCTCCCCTCAGCCTGGGCTTCACCTGGGCTCAGCGGTGCCCCACATCGCCCCCTAGGTTTTAAAAATGGTACCAAGATTCTCTAGCTCCTTGTTTGGCCCGCCCCTGGTTCCTTACCGGACCCACCCACCTGACTCACCCAAGGCCTTGGGTCTCTCCAGTGGACTCCACGGTGACCGGGGGCAACTCGGCGGGGGAGCTGTGTGTCTTCCCCTTCGTCTTCCTGGGCAAGCAGTACTCGACCTGCACCAGGGAGGGCCGCAGTGATGGGCGCCTCTGGTGCGCCACCACGTCGGACTTTGACAGCGACAGGAAGTGGGGCTTCTGCCCAGACCAAGGTGGGCCGGGCTCCGAGGTTCTGGGGCGGGGTAGTGAGGGGGGCTGTTTCTGACGGCACAGCCCAGGGCTCACCCTGCAGGCTCTCTTTCTCCTGCAGGTTACAGCCTGTTCCTCGTGGCTGCACACGAGTTCGGCCACGCGCTGGGCTTAGATCACTCATCCGTGCCCGAGGCGCTCATGTACCCCATGTACAGCTACACGGAGAAGCCCCCCCTGCACGAGGACGACGTGAAGGGCGTCCAGCATCTGTATGGCGGTGAGGCTTGGG